ATCTACTCACCCATTGGTGACAGTTGCCTTGCGTCCACCTTTGGACAATTGTGAATGATGCTGTAATAATGAGACATTTGTGACAAGCTTTTGTTTCCAAAATACCTGTGCCAATTCTTTGGGGAAGATACAGATTAAATAACCCATATTCAGGTAGAAGTTATGAATAAGTCCACGCTCATGGAGCAAATTAGAAGGACAAGGTGAATAAAAGAACTCCTGGTGTGTTGGCAGATCTCCTGTGCCCTCCATGGGTGTCATGAGCCAGAAGCAGTAGTGCAGCTCTGCCTCCAAATGGTGAGAGCCTCAGCAATAGAGCCTTTCAGACACACACACACTCACATGTACACACGCACGCATGTACACACGCATGTACACACGCACTTACACACGCACACATGTACACAATGGAACTCCAGGCAGCACCAAGGCTAGCACGCTGAGAGGACACAGCACAGCATGCGAGTGAAAAGCTGGGTGAAGCACACGACTTACAGCACAGTGCCATCTACACAAATGGTTTGCAGAGCCCCCTGAAGGCTGGAGATATCCTATGTCTTGATCCTGATCGTGGTTACATGGTGGTACACATGTGCCAAAATTCATTGAGCCAAATACTTAACGTTTTTGCATATACAGACCCAAGTTCTAGCACCAGCAAGCCTTGCCTCGTCCTGCAACTTCCTCATCCCCCCGCTGTTAACTGCCCCTCCTCAGCTCCCAGGGCTCCCTGTCCACTTTAAATATGCCATAATTATATGTAACAAAGACTGGCAAGCCTTTTCCCTTAAAGGATCAGGTAGTAAATATTTTTAGCTTTTCAGGCCAGATGATCTCTGTTGCAATGACTCAACACTCTCAGGGGCAGCGTGAAATTAACGATAGATAATACTAGGCAAATGGGCATGGCTGTGTTCCAATAAAACTTAATTTTCAAACACAGGTGGGGGGCCATAGTCTGCAGGCTCTGAAGCCTCTGGTGTATACCACGTTGAATTGCTTCATCTGTCTCCTCTATCAAGTGTCACTACCTTAAAGGCAAGGACAAGTTTTTCCATTCCTGTGTCTTCACCATCTGGCTCAAGGCCTGACAAAATAAACGATTGTCCATGAACAAGTCAATGAGTGATTTACAGTTTACTCCGCTCAAACCTAAATGAGAAGAGAGAGGAAAGCAAAGTTGAGTAACATAGGGTGCAGCCCCACGCCGCCCACAAAACACCTTCCAAGCATTCCCCGTCCTAGCTATCGCCTTCCACTCACGTTTACTGAGCACAGGGCTTTCTTTGGGGTAATAAAAACATCCTGGAACGAGGTAGAAGTTACGGTTGCACAACACTGTAAGTGCACTAAATGGCACTGAATTGTTCATTTTTAAATGACTAATTTTATGTTTTGTGAACTCAGCTGCAGTTTTTTAAAGCAAATACAAAATGATACACCAATTTGAAAACGTGCTGGAAAAGAAAAACAAAGGCTCCCCCTGGCTGCCGTGTGGAGAATAGACTTCTATGAGGCAGGAGCAGAACGGATATACTTGAGCTGCTGTCATTTTACTTTCGTTAGTCCTATGATTTCTAAAATATTTCTTGAAGGTCACAAAATATCTGGTCTCAGAGCTATTGGGACTGGTTAGCTTCATTAGTCTTGGGAAATCCCCAGAAATAAAGGCGCTGCCACCGGGCAAGCTTGTGGAGTTCGCAATTTGAGCATCTCAGACCACTGCAACCCTAATGTTGGGATCTTGTAGCAGTGGCTACCGCAGAGCATCTGGCTGTTCATTTGTATACTTTATAACAAACCAGTAATAGTAACCGGTAGGCCATTTTCCCTGAGTTAAGTGAGCGATCTAGCAAATTACTGAACCTGGAGAAGGGATCATGGGGCCTGACTTGAACTCTGGGTACTTAGCATCAAAATTGAATTGAATCGTTGGACACCCAGTTGGTGTCTAAAGAGTTGGGAAATTGTGTGTGTGTGTGTGTGTGTGTGTGTATGTGTTGTTGTTGTTGTTGTTGTTTTGGTGTGAAAAAACACACACATTTGATGTCAAAAGTGTTGGGTAAAACATTTCAGTAGTGACCTAATTTAGAAATAGGGTCTTTGTAGTAACACCAAGTTAAAATAAGTTCATGGGGGCGGGGGAAGAGGGGGGAGAGAGAGAAGGGCACTCACCCAATATGACTGGTAATGTTATAAGACATTTCAGAGAGAGACAGATGTAAGGTAGCCATGTGAAGGCGGAGGTAGGACTGAAATGATGCTGCCACAGCCAAAGAATGCCTAAGGCTACTAGAAGCTGGAAGAAGGAAGGAAGAATCCTCTTAGAGCCTTCAGAGCCCACAACCCCGGCATGCGCCCTGACAGGGAATCAAACCTGGGCCTCCTGATTTCTAGATTGGGCTACTGTTGTATTTCAAAACAATGGGTTGAAACCTGATCTATCTAATCCAACTGCACACCTATGTCCTCATTTGCACAGTTACTAGCCAATCAGAGCTGCTCCATAACAACCAATAAGAGTGCACTAAGCTGACTCCTCCCCCCACAGGAGAGTGCTATTTGGACCAATCAGACTCTGCAAATTTGTATTCCTCATTAGCAGGGGTAAGGGAGGGGATTTTCTCTATAAAAAGCAGCCTCCCCTTTATCTCCAGAAGACTTCGGTTTCTAGTACAGGCTGTGTTTGCCCAGTTTGCAAACTGTTTACCATAATAAAGTTCTCCTTTTACCACACCCCAGACTGGGGACTCCTGATGGCATTAGATTTGTGGCAGTGACCATTTGTTTACGACATATGTCCGCTGTGTTTATTCAAAAAATTCAATGACCCAGCCCTTAACCTCAGGGGTTTTACAGCCTCTAACCATCCCAGAATCCACTCCCCTTATTCCTTTTAGTAATACCGGTACAATCCCTGAATTGCATCTGGACACATTGTCTCCCTAGCTAGAAACTACATTTCCCAGGAACCCTGGCAGCCAGATGTGACCATGTGACTGTGTTTGAGCCAATGGGATTTAAGCAAACATAAGGGCAATTTGGAAGTCATCTCCTTAAACACAAATCTACTTGTCCT